ACCAGTATATGTATTGGACATATATGGTCTTTACCCCTTACCAATATATGTATATCTATTGGACATATATGGTCTTTACCCCTTACCAGTATGTGTATATCTATTAGACATATATGGTCTTTACCCCTTACCAATATATGTATATCTATTGGACATATATGGTCTTTACCCTTTACCAGTATATGTATATCTATTGGACATATATGGTCTTTACCCCTTACCAGTATATGTATATCTATTGGACATATATGGTCTTTACCCCTTACCAGTATATGTATTGGACATATATGGTCTTTACCCCTTACCAATATATGTATATCTATTGGACATGTATGGTCTTTACCCCTCACCAGTAAGTGTATATCTATTGGACATATATGGTCTTTACCCCTTACCAGTAGGTGTATATCTATTGGACATATATGGTCTTTACCCCTTACCAGTATATGTATTGGACATATATGGTCTTTACCCCTTACCAATATATGTATATCTATTGGACATGTATGGTCTTTACCCCTCACCAGTAAGTGTATATCTATTGGACATATATGGTCTTTACCCCTCACCAGTATATGTATATCTATTGGACATATATGGTCTTTACCCCTCACCAGTATGTGTATATCTATTGGACATATATGGTCTTTACCCCTCACCAGTATATGTGTATCTATTGGACATATATGGTCTTTACCCCTCACCAGTATGTGTATATCTATTGCACATATCATATGGTCTTTACCCCTCACCAGTAGGTGTATATCTATTGGACATATATGGTCTTTACCCCTCACCAGTAGATGTATATCTATTGGACATATATGGTCTTGACCCCTTACCAGTAAGTGTATATCTATTGGACATATATGGTCTTTACCCCTCACCAGTATGTGTATATCTATTGGACATATATGGTCTTTACCCCTTACCAGTATATGTATATCTATTGGACATATATGGTCTTTACCCCTCACCAGTAGGTGTATATCTATTGGACATATATGGTCTTTACCCCTTACCAGTAAGTGTATATCTATTGGACATATATGGTCTTTACCCCTCACCAGTATGTGTATATCTATTGCACATATATGGTCTTTACCCCTTGCCAGTATGTGTATATCTATTGGACATGTATGGTCTTTACCCCTTACCAGTATATGTATATCTATTGGACATATATGGTCTTTACCCCTCACCAGTAAGTGTATATCAAATTGATTATACTCACTAAATCTTGGGTCAGTGTTGTCAACTTTAGGTGTAAATGATTTGATTTTCCAACTGATATCTTTGAATTGTATACAATCCAAATTAAATGGTGTCCATTGTATACCACCCTCATGTCCATGACTGGGCAGTTTACCTAAAACCTAGAAAAAATACATTTAAACTGTAGAATTTCTGTTTACCTAAACTAACTTCCTAATAAATTAAGTGATTATAAGTGAAATGAGAAACTTCTGAAATTAATTTTGCTTTTTGGCAAGACAAAAGTACAGACCAGACATTTGATCATTTTTGTAATAAAAAAAAAACCAATTCAATGTGACATTATCTGTGGTCGTTAAAATAAATAAATCTAAGATGACCTAGTGCATTTTCGTCTAAATGAATTAGCTGATTTGTGTAGTTGGATATCCAGCAAAAGAAAATGAAAGAGTTGGTACTGAGATCGTGGGACCCTTTATCTATTTCCAACAACATTGAGGATTTATATGCAAGTATAAGAGAAGCTTGGAGACAATTCCAAGTGAACATGTGTCGGAAACTTGTTGATGCCATGCCAAAACGACTCTGAGAAGTCATCCAGCGAAGAGGTGGACACACGCATTATTGACAATCGTCGCATTCTATTACGTCATGAGATTTTTTTTCTTCATAGAAAATTCAAAAAAACTTTTCACTATTTATTTTGAGCTGTCGTTTTCGTTTCTATCTTACATGAAAATTGAAATTTTCTTCTGTTTGTGTCCAAAAACACGCGTTTGATATATAAATATATTTATTCAAACTGTTATTGAATTTATTTTATTGACTGATATTATAGGTAGTAACTACATATAGTGTGGTGGGTCTGTATATTGAACAAATTGCTAGAAATGCATGCAAATAATTATTATGTGCAGTGTATGTGACTCACCATGTGATGTGGTGTGGACGGTGTACCATTATTATGTGCAGTGTATGTGACTCACCATGTGATGTGGTGTGGACGGTGTACCATTATTATGTGCAGTGTATGTGACTCACCATGTGATGTGGTGTGCACGGTGTACCATTATTATGTGCAGTGTATGTGACTCACCATGTGATGTGGTGTGGACGGTGTACCATTAGTATGTGCAGTGTATGTGACT